AAAAATTCTCGATTAATCGTGATTAATCATTCTGATTTTCAGCGATTACGATTAATCGATTTTCGTTTCAATATCGCGATGAAATCTGATTTTATCGCTGATTTTTCAACATAATTCGATTTATCGCGATTTTACGCTCATTTTTCTAAAAATCACCAAAATCGCAGCGATTTTCACGACATGGGGAATGATCAATATCACCCATCTACAACATCTCAAAATATTTTCAGAATTATTATCGAAAAGGAAGTTCGTCAAGTATATCATCAATTTCGATTGATAATTCTCATTTGAGAAGAAAAAAAGATTCTTCATACTCGTATTCGTGATATTAATTAGGGATTCAGCTTTTCCTATATGTCTATATTTGATTGTGCAAGTTCTCATCAATAGGAATAATAATGCGAGGGTGTGAGTATGGGTGTGTGTGGGTGTAGTTCTTCTCTATACCCACACCCACACCCTCTATAGCTATTCTCCTTGTCAATATCATTTACAACCAGTGATACGCTTCGACAAGCAATGACTATAAGATCAGTATTTTGTAATGAATTGAATATCTTTTTGAAAGGAACAATATTTAGCAAAAAGGAATACTGAAAATATAATGAGAACATACAAAGATTGCAAATCTAAGAATTTCTTATTGACCAAAATCATATTTTGTTTTCTGTTTTTCGAAAAAAATACAATCTTATTACATCACCTCATTATTTGTATATTGAAGCATGTATATACATGTCATACGAAATTAAAAACAGGTTGGTTTCTACCTTTTTGAGTGATTCACTGTATCTCTTCTTCCTACAAAAAAAAATTATTTTTTCTCCTTTATTCAATTTGGGTAACCTCTACGTGTAGACGTAAAATAACAAGATGGGTAACACATATTTGGATGATTTACCAGTTGAGTTATTTCATGAAATATTTTCTTATCTTTCGGGTTGTCATATACTACGAGCATTTTATTCTATAAATAATTATTTTAATAATGTTCTCATTGGTTATAATCACTATATTTTGGATTTATCTTCATTGTATATTTCAAAAAATGAATCTGATCTTGTTTGTTCATTTCTACGATCAGAACAAATTGTTGGATTGAAATTTGGTAAAACTAATTTTAATTTGGTCAATCGATTTGTATCGAGTTTCTTGAATAGACAACCATTTACTCGTCTGAATTCACTTTGGATTGATGATACAATCATAATTGATCAATTATTTATGTCAAGTTTGGCATCAATAATAAACTATGGTGATCTCATTTCACTTCGTTTCGATCGTATTCATCTTAGTGATCGTTATACATTATCAAGTTACTCGTTTGACTCTCTTTCACGACTCGTTACATCTTCGAGTAAACAGTTTCGGCAATTATCTAAAGGCATACCAACTCATTTGATATATTTGCATATGCATTTTGACTCTATTAATGATATAAATCGATTTATTGGTCCCAATATACATCAATTGAAATCACTTGGTGTTGGTATTCAGTGCAGTTTAAATGATATCAATCAATTTAAATTTCTTTTCAAAACTTTTCAATGGACTCAATTAATTCAATTCAATCTCAATTTCAACGGTAAATAACAAAATAGATACACTATTTGGTGCATATTAGTTGTGGTTGTGGCTCTCTTTTCTTCAGTCACAAACACATCCTAGAGAGACTAAAGAGTGAAATATAGAAAAGTCAATGTAGCAGCTTGAACAGTATACAAGTAATTAAGGAATAAATTTAATTTCGTGTGAACGCCTTGAAATCATTTGATTTCATACATTGACTAAGGCCAGATCTCATACAGACGAAGATAGATTTCTTTTTTTTTCGTGAATTTTCAATTCATAGAAAGGTATTTAAAAAAAAAGAAAGTTACTCTAAATTTTTTCCTACAGAGAGATTTATTGCTCATTAGATTTGCCATGAAAATTTCAACGAAAATGAACATATCTTTGGAACAATATCGAATTTTTAAATATATTTTATTACTGTATTTCTCTTGTGATAGATGATATTATTTGAAAAATTGATATATCGAAAAAGATACATTTGTGTGCGCTGAAACTTTTACGGCAATATTCTTTTGGAAAAGCTTCACTTAAACGGTCATCATTCATCAATTTTGAACATAGATTGTTTTTTAGAATTTTCTTAGTTTCTGTAAAATTTAGTTTTGCTGAGAAAAATTTAAAACTGCTAGTCATCAGTATATCTTATCAGATGATATTGATCAATGTTTATTGCATCAAAATATATACGAATTATCGTTTATTGAGAATTTATTTGTGACAACTGTGAGTCATGTTGACGAAAATGGTTCGATTTTTTTTAGAATCAATTTAGTTCTTGCCGTTGAATAAACTCAATCTGATTAAGAAAATATCAAAATAAAGATATTTAATAAAAGAATAGTTTTTGTGTTAGAATGAGAGATGAATAGGCTATGATCTTTACCCTCTCGGGTTCCGGACATTTATTCAGTCGACTCGTTTCAGAAGCGAAAATCTCTTCGTAGAAGAACAGTTTTGAAGTCAGACCTGATAATCTCTTTTTTAAAACTTGTTTGCATTTCCTAAGATGGATCCAATGTAAATAGAACATACATTGTTATCAAATGATGAATTTTAAATGATTAGATTGCATTGTACATTGAGATGAAATACATTAATCAAATACTATGTTTTATGTAATTTGAATTATACTCTTTTTTCAGAAACTTCATCTAATATTTTTATTTGCATTTTTTTATAGTTAAAACTAATCTTCAGTTTGATATGTTACAAGAAATATTATCGCCAATGCATCGACTAAAATATTTGACATTAATATTGACCAAACCATTGAGAACGGATAATAATATATTGAGTGGAATTCAATGGAAATCATTTCTAAGGACATCGCTCATTTTCTTAAAAATATTTAATTTTAAATTTTCTATTGAACAAACATCCGAACATGAAATATATTTTCTTTTGAATACTTTTCAATCGAAATGGTGGATAAAAGAAAAACGATGGTTTGTTGAATATGATGCTCATGAAAATACTCTCATTACTGTGCCTTATTTTGCTTCAAAAAATTTTGATAATCGTCATTCATATTCATTTGATTTAATGCAGAATCCTAAAATATTTTATTCAAATATCAATTTTTTAAGTATTGATTTACATAAGTACAATGAGATCGAACAAATATTAGTGTCTCCACTTGCACCTCGACCACGTTTCAATCGTGTGACACAACTCTCATTGAATGGATATTTAACAACAGATGTTTGTGATGCAATTCGAAATAATGTTGATCTTAGCATGATTAAACATTTTGAATTTTCATCAACTGTTGGTACCACTGAAGCCTTTATTGAATTGATTGAAAACATGACTAATCTTTCTTCTATTCATATTCAATACTTACATAGTCTTGATCTATTTAATCTAATTTTATCACCAAATCTCTCAATTCGACATCTTGTTTTATTCGATTATGAACCAACAACAAGAAAACAACTTTTCTATCATATATGTCGAATCTTTCCACGATTAACCCATTTGACAACAGATTATCATTCACAACGAAGACTTTGTTATTTATTAAATGAACTTGTTCATCTTGAACAACTCACTTTGCGTTTAACTCAAGATCAATATGCTCCAAATTATTCTTGGATCAAGCAACATAATCGATTACGAATGAATTCATTTGAAATCAGAGTATTTAACATTCTTCACAGAGAAAGAAGGCTGGTTTTGTGGATCGATACCAATAATAAAATAGAACATCATCAGCATCATACACTAAACAAATGTTCCATTCAATAATTTATTTCAAATTATTTTCGTATTGATTTTTGATAACAAGAATAGAAAATTAACTGTTGAACTTTGTCTAGAAACGAAAAACAATTATTATTTTTTTGTTCGATTTTAAAACTCGAAATAAATAATCAAGAAGTAGTACTTACTAGTTAACTACCAATCAATGATTCATGACCATATAATTCGAAGAATAAAATGAGGGTTGGTTTGATAATAGATATATGGAAAACAGATTCTGATGTTCTAGAATCTATTCCAGTTCTATAAATACTCTCTTTTTTTGTTATATTGAATATTTTTACAGCAAATATTAATTCTGATTGAAAATGTCTTATTTTTCGTCATTATGAAAAACAGAAAGACAAGTATCATCTTAAATCAATGAAAATAACACAGATAAGAACATATGA